TGGCCTCGGGCGGGGCGCGGTAGCTCTCCACGAAGGCGCCGGTCTCGAGGTTCACCCGGAAGACCTCCCGCGAGGCCCCACAGGAGAGGAGCTCCGCGTGGAAGCGGTCGAAGGCGAGCCCGCGCTGCGCGTGCGGCACCCGCAGGCGATCCACCACCGCCGCGGTGTGGTGAATCGTGAGTTGCCGCCCCTCCCCACGCAGCGCGAAGCGGCGGTAGTCGTGCGAGATGCCCACCCCGGAGAGGATGTTCATATCCGCGTTGAAGCTGTACTTCAGGCTCAGCGCGGGGACGTCGAAGCATTTGAGGCGGTAGGGGTAATCCCCGGCCGCGAAGAGGTGGGTGCCGTTCGCGCAGCGAAACAGGCACCGCGCGGAGTGGGGGAAGTCGAAGTCGTGAATCAGCTCCATCCGCTGCTCCCCGGCCGCGGCTTTTTTGTTGCGCCGACGCTCACTCAGCCATTCCGGCAGGGACTTTCCCGCGGTGAGGTTGTAGACCTTGACTTTGTTGTGCAGCGTCACGTTCATCGGCGTGGATCCGAGAAGCACGTGTAGATGTTTCTAGATGAATCGGAAATAACGAAAACCAGAGAAAAAAAAATAAGAATCGAAGGGGAGGAAACGATAAAAGGAGGACGCATCATTGGCAAGCAAACCTTTTATGAATGTGAGAGACGCCGCACGGGTTGATGTGGCATCAAGCGGGTAGACCCTCTCTCCTTGGTCAATTCAACAATCCGTTTTTTTTTTTTTACACTAATTGAATTCTATTATACATTCCGATTGGGTAGGCCGTGTCGTTAATGTTTCCCGTTGTTTACATTTCCTTCATTGAATAGACACCGGTGTGGATTCGTGGTGGCTTCCCTCGGTTTCCGATTCCTAAGTTTTTTTCACTAAACTTTCCACACACGCCCATTCCGCTTGCCCGGATTAGACCCCAATTTTTGAGGAGGATCCTTCTTTCGTTTCTTTTTTTCCTTTTAGCCTTCCGTGGTGGCCGTTTTGGGGGTTTCTTTCGCCTCTACGACGCTAAACCCGTGCATCGGCCATCGCTTGCGGACGCCGAAGGTGGGGGGCTGGATGTACTCAAACCGCGGTGCGGCAGGGCTGAAGGGGGTTTTGATGCCTTTCCAATGCGCCTCCACATCCACCGGCGCGGCCGGTTCGCTCGCGGGATCGCTTGCGATGCTGTCGGCGGTTTTATAGATGAGATTCCCCGCCATCGCGCCGTCACGCACGCAGCCCTGAAACCGGACGACGCCGGAAATGTGGCAATTTTGAACCACCGGGTGTTGCGCGAAGCAGGGTCTGCCGCTTCGCCCGGTCTCCTCCGCCTCCTCACTCCCTCTTTTGTCGTCGTCGAGGGGGTCGACTTCGTTGGTTTGGAGGAAATACTGCGCCCGCACGGCATCCGGTGCGGCTTCCCATTGGGCTTCCACCTTCTCGATTTGATGTTCACTGGGGCCCACGACGAGCAGCGCTTCCCGCCCGCACCCCCCGATCACGCACTGCTTCAGCGTGAACGTCCCCGCGACCCCGTAGGCGTAGACGCCGACCTCCTGGATGCACTGCACCTGCGTCGCGGTGATCGTCGTGCCGTGGCAGCCTTCGTACAACACGACGCCGATCCCGACGTGGTCGATCACGCACTCCGTCAGGGTTAAATCCGCGTTATCGCAAAAGACCCCGACGGCGGTGACCACCGCCGACGGCCGCGCGAGCCCGCGAAGGCGGCGGAGAAATCCCGCCTGCAGGGCGGTCGCGTCGTCGTC